AGGGGTCCGGGTCCAGATTTCATGTGTATCAGTAAGTACATTAGAGCAGAGAAGAGAACAGACTGTCCCCAGCCACGAGAGGTTCTGTTTCCAGTCAAGATGAAGCTCCTCAGGCAGAGGAGTAGGAGAGCATATGTGTTGATCAGGTGCCAAAAAAGACAACACAATCTCTTTTATAGGCCACTTAGTCACTGCAAACAATTTAGCACTAATGATGCTGTAATGTAATGGATTACAGCCTGAGCATGAAATAAACTGCGTATATCAGTGGTGACCCAGTGGAAGATGAAGAAATGAGTGAGGAAAACTACAAGATGGAAAATGATCCTTTAAACGCACGCTGATTTTGCTACTAATGAATGCTTTCAGCTTTTAACACTACACGTAGGTTCGTATAATCAGAAAAAAACATAATGTATAGGATATTTGTTTTGGGCTGCAATAACTGAATTTTTTTTAAAATATTTTTTGTTTCATTTAAATGCTGATGCTGCCAAAACTGTCCTTCAAACATTGCTGTGGTTATTTTGTCATAGTTAGCAAGGTCCCAAGATTATACTTGAAGCAATTTGCAGTAACTTGTAAACCCCCAAAGAATCAGCTAGTTTTTCCAGATGCATTAAAAAGCCATGTTGTTGGGTTGTTAGATGCAGAAGAATTGCATGCTCATTCAGCTTAATTAAACGGTCCTGAAGAGAATAAGATGAAAAAATATGTATTCTCTTCCAGTGTCTATTTTAGGCTTTATTTTGCCAGCGAGCATTTGCAAAATTTTTAATAGCATTCTGCAGTGCCTTGTAAAAGTATTTCCATACTTTGAAATCACAAGTTTGTTTTCTTTTCATTTTATGCAATACATAAACATAAGGTAGAGCAAAGCTGTAAAATGAAAGGAAAATAAAGTGATCCGGTTAGATTAGGCCAAAAGTGAACATTTTGGCCCATAAAATGCTAACTCTGACATAAAACTAACCCTGAACACCTCATAAAAATGGTAACAGCAGCATCATGCTGTGGGATTGTTTTTCTTTAGCAGGGACAGGGAAGCTAGTAATAGCTGGTGGGAAGATAAATACAAGACCATCCAAGAAGAAAACAGAGGTTCACCTTCTAGCTGAACAATGATCCTGAACATACAATAAAAACTTAAAAGCAATAGTCTCAAAATAAAATGAGGCATTTTTGGCAGCCTTTAACGTTGCTATTCAAAGACGGTCTCAATTCTCTCCAACCTGACGGAGCTTGAGCTACACTGGACAGAATGGTCAAAAGGTATATTCTCTAGATCTTTAAAGCTGGGAAAAATATACTTCAAAACCTGAGGTTGTAATTGCAGTGAAAGGTGATAAATCTGGGAAGCTGAATATCAATTCATCCCAAACTTTTCATATTTTTATTTGTAAAAAATGTAGAAAAACATGCATCCTCTTTTTATACTTCACAATTAGGCACTACTTGTGTTTATAAAGTGGCTGCTATGTTATAACGTGAAAAACCTCAGGTTGTATTCATATTTTTGCAAGGCACCAAGGCAAGTGTGTGTGTATAGTGAATGTATATAGTTTAGAGATTACTTTCCAACTATGAACTCTCAATTCTCTGCTCCTAAATCACATTTTGAGGGCTTTTCTTCCCTGAAAATCTTTACTGATGTGATCCGTTTTCCTTCAAGGGGAACTTTTACTGCTGCTCTTTAAAATTTATGACCACAAGCTCATTCTGGCCTCCATGTGTATACCCACATTATCTATGTTTACTTGGAAACAAGAAACACTTTGGTCGAAAGGTTCTGTTGAGCTGGTTAAGCTACCAATGAGTCACCGAGGCAGGTAAGTAATCAGCTTCCAACTTTGAGATAATCAATGACCACCAAACCTGTGGACACATTTGTTGCAATTTGTTCCTTTTAGAAATCAAATTTCACCTTTTTTTTGTCAGCCAGTTTAACTTGAACTTTTCGATTTACCCATTATGAATGTACTACGAATAGGAATCATTCTTGTGTTATCTAGGCTATCAAAATTCAGTATAAATCATTCAGCATTAAGGCAATGTAAAGGTGAGGTAAACCAAAATAAAACACCAAGGCTAAGAAAAACAGGGCATGCAAGCTTTCCAATACACAAACACACACTCTGCATGCTTATCTGTCCCACATGAGGGATCAAAGCCCCAGAGGCTGTCAGCAGTCAGGCAGCGAAAGAGGGTATGGCAGCAAAATTAACTGATAAGGGATGAAATGAACAGATAGAAAGAGGAAACACAGGACAGAGTGTTATAACAAGAGGAAAGCAAGAGGCAAGGAGGAACAGTAGAAAAATATTCACTCATGTCCTGGACTAAATAAGGTCACAAAACCAGTGAGCCATTTCTACTCTGAGAACAATGTATGTGCCTGGAGGCCAATCAGATAACATCAGCTGAGTTGGCTGCGGCTATAAGCCAATCACAACCACCGTCAGTGACATCAGCCACTCAGTTGGTGGCAAACAGGGAATTTGATCAACTAAGAAAAAACAAAACAAAGCTGTTCCTCTTGCAAATCAAAACTTTATGGAATTAAGCTCCAAGTCTGTGAGCCAAATGTTTCAACTGCAATATCGCTTACTGTGGATATGGGTCTTTTTATGCCCCAGATACAATCTGGCACCAATCACAGAAACTGAGAGGACTGCAGACAACTTGAGAGTCTCAGTGAACATCGGATGTTGTCCTTATCAAGAGGCAGGCAGCATCTGGCTGATGTCTGAACTGCAAAGAACATACATCCACAATGTTTGCTTCTGAACCCTAATTATTGGAACAGTATATGACGAACAGACACAACTGAAATCAATTAACTGCAGACTTTAGTGGTAAAGATGTTTCTGTTGTGCAGACAATAAACAGATCACACGAACTTTAGAAATGTTTGAAGCTGTCACATAGATGGTGCTTGAAAATATGGGCTTTAATGTGTTTTGTAAGATGTTGTGAGATTATGTATTGAAAGAATTTATTGAATCAGCCAAAACTCAATACTCAAAGATCATCAGAAGTAGGATTCATTGTTTTTGGACACATGGGTTTTATCAAGCACCAACTTTTACCACATTTTAGTGCCTGAAAGTATGAAACATAAATAAATTTCAATCATACTTTCCAATTGTATTCTTATGACAGAGTACTAAGGCCAGGCTAAGTGATTTTTTTTGGGGGGGGGGGAATTATGAGATTAATGTCTTAATTTTTATGACAACTCTTACTAAAAGGCGCAGTCTTTTACGCGTTAAAACGAGGAATGTTGAGCATCTTGTGAAGTTATACATTGGTATCGGTCTCACAAATAAAGATATTCTTAATGTTTTAGCACCACAGCATCAAATTCTTATCAGTATCAGGCACTGAAGCAACTGTGCAAATACTGTAACTGTTTTGAAAAAAGAACCACACGGACTTGGAAGGAATTACTTCTTTTGTGGAAGAGGAGCTGTCTCATTACAACTTTTTTTCTCCTATAATCACCACCTTATTCTCATCTTATTACGACTTTATTCTGGTAACATTATGACTTTATGCTTATAATATTATGAATTCTCATAATGTTACGACTTAATTCTTGTAGACCTGGTGTTATGACTTTATTCTCGCAATTTCCAAAAAAATCTTTTTTCTTAGACTTGCCTCAATACGCCATCGTATTTTCTAAAGCAGAGATTGTCATATGAATAAATTTGGACACCCCATAAAATTTTCAGTTCCTAATCAACATATGTTTACATATTGAGGTCTGAACTTTTTTTTTTTGTTGTTTCTGGAAAAGAAAGTGATTTAATTGCTCCTAACCTTGTTTTACCAATTAAAGAAAACAATATGAGCAAAATGCATTTTCTAGCAAAGGCAATTCTGCTTCAGGTTTATTTATTTATTTTTACAGATGGCCTCACATGTCTTCAAGCACCCTCTGATAAACATTAAAATTCATGGTGAATTCTGTAATTCGGAGCTGGCCAGGTCCTGCTGCTGCAAGTCTCCAAACCATGACACTTTCAGCTGCCTGATGAACAAATGGTATGAGGTTATTTTCTGGGAATTAGGTATTTAGTATGTATCAAATCACATGTCCAAAAGACATAATACCAGGTCTTTGCCTATGTTCCCTCTTGGAAATCTTAGTCTGACCTTCATGTTTTCTTTAGAGAGCAACATTTTCCCACTTGCAAACTAAGAAAGTTAAACTTCCACAGTTTTTTTCTGATAATACAAGCACGTACTTTAACATCACGGGAGTAAGAGCCTGCTATAGCTCCCATGATGACTCTTTAGGGTTTTTGAAGACATCTGCTTTTCTTGTCCTTCACTCGTGGATTATTATCCATTTAGATGAATGGCTGATTTGAAATTATTATGTGACCTCTTTAAAACCCTTATCAGACTCACAAGCTTCTACAGTTTTCTTTCTGAAGGCCTCAGACAGCTCTTTTGATCCTTCCATGATGTTCGATCTTAATTCAATAGTCAGGAGGACACCAAAGCAAATGTCTGGAGTTTAAACAGGGCAAAGCTCCTTCACACTGGTTATTAATGGCTATTTCAATGTTGGAAACATGAACCAAATGAACAACATATTGAATATAAGTGATTTGAATTCCTTTCAAATCACCAGGTGAAGCATAAGATTAAAATGACTGTTTAGGGTCAAATGACATGTTTGAAAACTAACTGTGGATCAACTTACAGAGTTTGAGTTGTCAGTCAGTCATTTTCTACCGCTTATTCCATAGTGGGTCACGGGGGAGCAGGTGCCTATCTCCAGCAGTCTATGGGCGAGAGGCAGGGTACACCCTCGACAGGTCGCCAGTCCATCGCAGGGCAACACACAAACAACCATGCACACACCTAAGGGCAATTTAGAGTGACCAATTAACCTAACAGGCATGTCTTTGGAGTGTGGGAGGAAGCCGGAGTACCCGGTGAGAACCCACGCATGCACAGGGAGAACATGCAAACTCCATTCAGAAAGACGCCGGGAATCAAACCCAGGACCTTCTTGTTGCAAGGCAACAGTGCTACCAACTGCACCACCGTGCAGCCCGAGTTTGAGTTGTATCACTGAATAATTTTTCAAATCTGCATTGCTGTAATCTGGTGAAATGCTCCTAAAACATGGACTACTAAGTGTAAAATAGTGAGACGTTAAGCTGCTTATATTCACTGCCGCTGTGTTTTACAAAACCAATCCACAGCCTACTAATACAAAATATTCTGGTGACACATTTGTTTGGAGAAAAGCGAGTGCTGATGAACCTCTGTGTGCAACAATTCTGGTCAAAACTGGATCATAAATTACAATGTCTGCCTGCATGCTGAAAGAATTTCAGTTTTGTGAGTTACAATTTTTATTTAAAACATTAAGTCTTTATTGTGGAGCAATAAAGACAGACTTGGCTTGCCGTGGAGAGCTGCCAAAGCCCTAGGCAAGGTGCCCCTTTCTTAGGTTTTTAAGGTATACGGCTCTCAGACAACATTTCTCCTGACTTTCTCCTCACTGGACAAATCACCATTAAAATCTTTGCCCTCTTACCTTTTTAAACATGTTTTTCAACAAATGGAAACATGATTACATGTACCCTTTAAAAAAATACTATTCTAACAGGTTCATTATTGGACAATTGTCACTCAAAATGCCTTATAAGCATGTCAGGGGATCAGAAATCAGAAGGATTAATTGTCTTCCATGTGAGTATACTACTTGTCAGATAATTTATTAATAAACAGAATATGCTGTTTTATAGAATAGCAAGTTGAGAAATTAGTGAATTCAAGTACGTTGCAGGGCAGAGCACGCACTCCAACCCAGTGGCTAGTCACATGTTTAAGTGTGGCATTTTATGCTGGTTGCTTTGCTAAAAATAAGAGCAGGAACCAAACATAAAAGCATGCAGACAGACCAAAACACGATCAAGTCATGCAGAGAGGAGTGACACAAGGGCATTTATATATGACACATGTAGAGTGTTGTAAAAAGAAAATAGAGATTTTATCACAACTATAAAGATGGGGCTGAACCCAGAGGCTGCATGTGAAGGACCAATGTACATGTTTAATCATAATACACATGCAGGCGTAAAGAGGTCTGAAAAGAAGTTTGCCTCACAGGAGCCCACATGTTCTTTAGAGCACGGGACAGATGTTTAAAAGGCAGAGATGGGGTTTCTTTACAGCAGAGTATAGCAGAGTGGTTCAAAGAGGCCCTGATGACCCCGGGACACAGAGACTCAATTAGCTTCCCATAATGAGACCGCGCAGTGGGGGGTGTTTGCATAAGCTTATTAAAACATAATCCTCCTTGCACAGCCATACTGTAACATGCCAGACAGGCGACCCCCTCAACCTCAGTTTTCGCTAACAGCAGGTTGGCGGCTTCGGTCCATGGAAAAAACGATTCTCTCTTTTTTTTTCCATAAATCAGTAGACTGATATTTTATCCAGCTATGGAATCTTTGGGATGTAACCAAATCAAATTTATTTTTAGAATTTAATCATACTTTCCGTAGGTGTGGTATACTTTATTTTTTATCTTAATTATTTATTTTACTGACTAAATAACATTCTTGCTATCCAAGGTTATCAGCACTGTAAATAAGTAATTTCTGTGTGCCACTCAAATGTCAAACTTTGATGCCAACATGCATTTGAGAAAAGATGTGATAAATGAAACCCGTTTCAGCCTATGAAACTGCAAAGCAACATTTGACAAACAATACATATTTTGGTTTTATTAGAAATAAAAGAAGCTTATTTTAGGACTTTATCCCTACAGGTTTTAAAGAGTGCTGCAAAACCTTACAAGGGACAGGACTAAAATCTATGAATAATGAACCTATGATATGAATGAAAAGACATGATCTTTGGGTCTTTACAAAACACTAAAATGAAATCTGATCTAAATAGAGCTAGAAATCACTTCCTGATTTCACTGACAGGTGAAAACTACAAAAACCATCAAGATTGAACACATATAATCATTTAAACACCTCTTCCTGTTCAGCTGTCTTTGGCCTCTTAGCCCATTCTTGACCAGCATTTTTACGCAGCATTCCCATGACAGTGACCGCTTTCATGACAATGTGATTAAAAATGCTACATCTTCCATCCAGCCATCTTCTATCCATGCGGGTTGTGGAGGGACTGGTGCTCATTTCCTACAGTCACTGGGTGAGAGGTAGGATACATCCTGGATAGGTCACCAGTAGCGATGTGACGTTCACGAACCAATCAATTATTTAGTTTTTTACTATTTGGCTTGCTTATAATGAAATTCAATTCAATGTGTATTTATATAGCGCCAATCCACAACAGATGTTGTCTCACGTTGCTTTTTTAATTTAATGTAAATTCATGCTGCGGGAGAGAGGAGTTAGACAATCACAGACTGCCCCTTGCTTGAGTACAAAACATGAATGATACAAGAAAAAGTTTGCACACTTCATTTGGATGCTTACAGTTACGTGTTGTTTACCTTTAGTGAGTTGCCTTAATTATATTTAATGATTCAGTTGGTGATTTTTATTTCTGCCAAAGCAACTCAGGTGCACTTGTTTTCTCTTCTATTTTGCTACATTTTGCTTTCTTTATTTTTGTTTCTATATTACAAATATCATTAAATGTTATACATGCACAAAAAACCTACTACATGGGTTTTTGATATTTATGTTTTGATATTTTAAACTTTATTTTATGGCTAATATACACATAAAGAAAGATTTTTTGCAACATACTGTGGTCCTGTTTTGCACCTTTTTATATACAAATATTAATCTTAATACAAAAAATTCAACTTTTGTTGAAAAAGTCACCCACACATGCCAGGTGTCTTAAAAGTAATAAATTTAACTCTATATTGGGGATAAAATGTCTTGTTCTTTTAAATGCCGACAATTTCAAAAATGGATCATTTCTTTTGAATGGATCTTTGCAGGGGACGGATCATGCAGATTTGGTTCCCTTTAAAGAGCCATAAGTCCAATCACTAGTCAACCGTCTAACACAGGGACCCACATTCAACCAACCATACACGCACACAGTCAGATTTACTGGCAATTTTGAGGCCAATTAATTTACCATACATGTTTTTGTGACTGTAGGATGAAGCCAGAGTACCTAGAGAGCACCCATGCATGCACTGGGAGAAAATGCAAACTGGTTAGGATTAGAACCCAGGACCTTCTTCCTGCACAGCAACGGTGTGGCCCACCATGCTATCATACATATATGGAAGTGGATATGGATTTTTGGGGGGCTGACTCAAAAGGCTCTTTCTGTGTAAGAATAGTGCTTTTAAAAATAATTCATTTTAAAGAACAATAGAAAGGTGGATTGTGATTTAGTTATGTTTTTTAGACTTTTTAAGATCTTTTGATTTTTTTGGCTTTAAATTTCTGTACTTTTGGGCCCTTGAAACCTACCTTAAATTCCTTTTTTTTCAAAATGTATACTTTTGTTTTTTAACTGTCCGTGAAGCTTTCTGTTTACAGACATATTCAAGGTATTCCCCCAAAGTAAACACTGAACCAATTTGTTGAAAGCGGATTTCTGTCATCACGTAGTCACGTGCATTAAGCACACAGAACAGGCTGGTTTTATCTTGGAATTATTTAATACCGTATTTACAGATGGAATAAAAGCATGTCTATGAAATCATTTGAGTTTAATACTTTTGGTGAAGATGTGCTTTAATAGCTAATCTCTAATCGACCTTACACAAAGAAAAGTTTGAATTCAAGTCTGAATTATGTTAAAGACGTCTTCCTCGAAGGGATTACCCTTCTTCTGTTGGCTCCAATGTAACACCTGCAATAACACAATTTCATTTTACATTACATTACACAACCTCCATCAAACCAAGTTGATTTGCTTGCCCTCATATTTTTCATGAAGCTGTTTTTGATAACCACACTAAAACTGGACCCAGAAAAGTGTTTGTCCACTTTCACATTTTACGGCAAGTCCGTTACGTAATTTGCCACCACAGGGTAATAAAAAAGAGATTGACATCTTAAGCATACTGTGCAAGCAGATTTCTGTCAAGAATAATGAATTGTGCTTAGTCTGCATGGATGTCTTTTAATCAGGGCCTCAGACATATTGCATTGCATTACAAGTGCTTGGGCAACACTTAATCCTTAAGACAATGTACAAAGTGGACCACAGTTCGCTGGTTGGATCCCTTCCCAACATGCAGGCCTGCTTAATGTTCATCTGTAATCCCACCCCAAGGGCTAAGCTCAAGTCTTTGTGCTGGTAATTATCCGAGGGGTACCAGAAAGATCCGTCATCAACTTTGAGGTATCAAAACTGACTGCAGCGGCGCTCTTTCATGCGGAGTCAAAGTTCACTTGTTACCTAAATGTTTCTCAGAAGTTACGTAACAAAGTGTTTATAGGACTGAAAGGTTCAACAATTGTTTGACATTTTAAGACTGATGAAGGCCACACCTGACTTGGTGACATATTTTACAACATAAGTCCAGAAAGCATTATGTGAAAGACAGAGGTGTCCACTTGTGAGCGTAATAGCAACATTCAGTGATAACTCTTTCTGTTTAAGTGAGTGTATAATTACACTCATTTTGAACACCCTTTTATAAATGTTACATTTTAAAGAGTAAATCTTATATGTGATATTCCTGTAAGTAAATGGAGCCAATGGCCCCAGCTGTGAAACGTTTACTATTCAAACACAGACAAAATATTTTGGAACCCCCTTTTAATCACATATTAGAAATATTACATATGTCGCCTTATGCACCATGCATACTTGGACTGATCTCACATTATATTCTTTGAAAAAGTCAGTTGTGTATATATGTACATTTAAAAAGAAATTCTTGTTATTGTATATACCCAAAAAAAAAAAAGGAAATAAAAAATCCTTACTGAGAGCAAAGTATACCAGAGTCAAATTCCTCGTTTGTCTGTACACACTTGGCAATAAAGCTGATTCTGATTCTAATTTAATGAATCGGATTTCATGGTTTCTAATCTGCTCTACACGGACGGGAAAAACATCACAAGTCAAACAAAA